TATATATACTATCTCTTATTATAGCTGTTTGCAGTGCAATTACAATATCGAAACATCACTATGTGGACACACGAAACAATGCCATACCTCCAATATACGGGATGCGTGCTGAAGGGGTACACTTCTCGCTAATAACTTGATTAGATCACGGGCCTTAATTATCGCATACGGATCATACGATTTACGTGTCGTCTTCACCGTCATACTACCCTCTACCAGGTCCAATACACAAGCAATGCCATGCTCCTTCAGAAGAGTGGTAACATGCGGCCATATCTCCTTGAGATACTTCTCTCTATATTTTGGAAATAAGGTAGCGAACATACTCTCCTCTAGCAGAGCGCCACTCGCCTTCGCATCCTCCTCTGTCCACGGGTCAACCTTCCAGTGGTCTATGCCACCGTGATCCCAAGGCTTCTCTTTTCTGTACTTTTTGTTCTTGTTCACAACCACTTCCGGGTTGCCCTCTTGTTTATCCGTCATGATGATGTACTGATGCGACTTACGCTGAGAACACTGTATGAGTTTTCTACTGAAGATTCTGAGAGTGAACACTACTAAGTCAAATATGATGGCCTGTAAGGTAATAATTCAAATTCAGGAGGCATGTGTTTTGGAAGTCATCGTTTTTTCCGAAATAAAGTGCACACGTGTTTTTGTACCAGTGCACTCTTACAATATGCTAAAATCTATAAAATAAGTACATACATATCTCATCTCAAGAATTTTTGTGTTAACTAATAATAAATAACAGTATATCAGCTATGCGTAGCACTCCCAGCTAAAGCACACGGACATACTCGTACACCTTCTCGCAATGCAGGATTCGGGGACCGCGTTCAATGCGCTTCGTCTGGGGGCACACTTTGCTAAGACAAAAGAGGCTCAACGATTCGATGCTAACATTAAAGCTACTCGATCTAGTTCTGAGAAACAAGATGCCACTGCAAACGTTGTTACTGCAAAGACTTTGCCGTCCGCCTTAGATTTCTTCGGTACTGCGGAAAAAGTTACAGAGACTATAGCAACCAAGGATGTAGCAGAAGTATTGGATAGTAGTGAGGGATCGAGGGAAAAGAAAAAGGTCAAAAAGGCCAAGAAAGAAAAGAGCGAGAAGAAGTCAAAAAAGCGCGATAAGAAGGATAAAAAAGATAAGAAGAGGAAACGTAGAGATAGTACAGATAACGCAGAGGCTGACCCCGCTAAGATGACTAAAGAAGAGAGTTTAGCACGTTTGCGAAAGGAGTACAAGATCAACGTATCTGGCAGTAGTGACGTGCCAGTACCATTTAGGACTTTTAGTTCGCTAACGGATGTGTACAAGCTCAATCCGGCCGTACAACGCAACTTAGTCACATGCGGGTATAGTGTACCGACCCCTATACAGATGCAAGCCATCCCCACTATGATGGAAGGTCGCGATCTATTGGCATGTGCACCTACGGGTTCTGGTAAGACTATGGCATTCCTGGTGCCGCTACTGCACGCCTTGAAGAGTCCCGGTAACGTCGGTTTCAGAGGTATTGTGTTGTGCCCGACGAAAGAGTTGGGTAGGCAGATTTATAACGAGTGTGAAAGGCTAGCCAAAGGGCTGCGACTGAAGATACACTACCTCACTAAGGCCACAGCCAGTGCCAATAGTTTTGGACCGCAGACAAACCAGAAATTTGACCTGTTGGTTAGTACACCCATGAGATTGGTGGGTATGATTCAGAATTCTACTATCAGGTTAAACAGTGTGGAGTGGCTGGTAATGGACGAGGCGGACAAACTGTGGGAGATGGGATTCTTAGAACAGGTTGACGAAATCATAGCGGCATGTGGATCGAGTAAACTCAAACTCGCCTTGTTTAGTGCCACACTTCCCGCCAAGGTGGAGGAGATGGCACGCACGATTCTGCGCAATCCGGTCAAGCTTAGGATAGGGCCCACAAATGCGGCTACAGAACTGATCGACCAGCAGCTTCTATTTGTGGGTCGTGAGGACGGCAAGTTACTGGCCATCCGTCAGCTGATACAGCAGGTATGTGTGTTCCTGCTGTAATTATTGCTAGGTGCGATTATCACTTGTATGTATATACATTGTATCTCATCATACAAAAAAGTGATGTATCGACATTGAACCGACTATTTCCAGGTATTTGGACATGCAGATTTTGGTCTGTCCGTATATATGTATGGATCATTGATATACTATCTGGAATATTTAATGACAGGGACTTCAACCGCCGTGTCTAGTATTTGTGCAAAGTGTAGAGCGAGCGAAAGAGCTCTTCAGAGAGCTCATCTACGATGGGATCAACGTGGATGTTATCCACGCGGAACGCACGCAGTTACAGGTATGTCACCTGCACGGTATCATATACACTTACATATAGATATGTATATATATATATATATATATATAGTATGTCTAATTGCATATTCTTATGTTATGTGTATGTGTATGAATTTATTTTGTGCCTATATGTATACATGAATTGAATCATTGGATTGCATATGTGCGTATATTTGATTTGAAATGAATCGATCACGATTGTTTGTATTGCATTCAATATTACTGTCCATTGCGAACACCATATCTGATTTAATACTCTTACCCGTACATATAAACTGCAGCGAGAGAACGTTATCAAGAAATTCCGTTTAGGCGAGATATGGGTGCTAATTGCAACCAATATACTTGGGCGTGGTATCGATTTCAAAGGGGTGAATCTCGTGGTGAACTACGATTTCCCACAATCGACTGCGGATTATATCCATCGCATTGGACGAACTGGGCGTGCGGGCCGTCAGGGCAAAGCTGTGACGTTCTTCACCAATGATGATCGGCCTATGCTGCGTACGATAGGTAATGTGATGTTAGAGAGCGGGTGCGAGGTACCGGATTGGGTGATGGAGATTCCCAAGGCCAACAAGAATCAACTGCGCCAACTGAGGGCATTTCCCATCAAGCGTAAAGGCATAACGTCGATGTCAGCGTATGACAAAGAGAAAACTCGCAATAAGCGAGACGCCATTTCACATTCAAAGGCGGTAAAGAAACAGAAAACGTAGCGCAATTGATCGGAGTGAGAATAAGAATAGTACTTCGTATATTTTTCCTCTAACGAACATTTGAGATTACCTTTTCGAAATCCTGTCGAGACTTTTCCCGTTCAGAGTTTATGGTCTGGGCAAAATATTCGGTTTCCTCTGGGCCGTCGCTCCAATGTGGGTGATCACAATCGAATTAGTAATGGCTGAATGCAAACAACCTTGCGCTAGTTGTCCCCCTCCACATACTGAATTTGGTTACTATGTACAAAAGTATTCATGAAGCGGTTGGCCAGCGACGAAATTCACCCTGTGAATCATGCGAATTCGTTCTACTACTTAGAATTCATTTGGAACGACATGTGTACACTTCGCATGTATAAGGGAAGCTCAGGCATCCACGGCCAAGTACTGTCCGCGGGTTGAAGTGGTTAGATCAGAGACGCTCAGTACCATCGTTGGCACATACGGTGCGACTAAGTAGGCGGCCTGAGATTCAGCATAGTCGCTATCGGGGATGGCATCCTTTCGTGAGTGGTAGAGACAGGTTTCGTCCTCCCCTACTGTCATGCCATCTTGCTGCATTGCAGTGACGTGCGAATGAACTATCTCTGGCAACCTCCATATTCGAGACAAGCCTCGTCTAATCATGATCCGCTTTCGCCTGCATGTGGTGAGTGCCAAAGTTAGGAGTTAGATAGCATTGGTATCAAATATTAGGTCGGTCCTGATTTATTTTGCCTACCTATGGGGGAAAGGAGTGACCGTATTAATGTAATTCATTAAATGACAGACTACACAAGCGGAATCTCCTCGATTCATCTCCTTCTTCACTATCAGAATGTATTGTATTTAAGCATACCTGCGACGTCGGTTCTTGGGTGATTGGTCCAGTGTGTCAGATCCACCCCAGAACAGATCATCACGTAGTGCTAGTTTTTCTTGATTCCTCGTTGCAACATCCCACACACGCGTAATCCCCGAGAGTCTCATCGAGGTTTTGCGCCTATAGTAAGTAGAAGTAGTGGAAGCGTTGTTACTAGTTGAAAATTGTGGACCTCAAATGCTAGTAAAGCTGTTGAAGCTCAACACAACACAGGCTGCGAAGCACAGACAATCGAAGCAGCAGCTTGTGCTTACACAAGCCATCGTTGGTTGTGTGTGATCTGTTCCATCGGCGTGTAACCAACTGTAGCATAGACGTATCCCTTGTCATAGCTATGCAGAATACGCCCCGAATGGTAAATATAGCTACACTTGTCGAATTCTACCTTAAACACGAGGCTTTAGTGATCTGCTGTTCTCGTGTTAGAGGAGAACGAGTTGGCTGTTCCAAACCGATAGGCGTCGTGACATCCGTCTCTTCTACTACTATGATCCGAGACCAAATCCGAGTTAATCCACGTTCGTCCATAATCTTCTTCCGCCTGTTCAATAGAAATCCCCATGATATTATATCAAAACATTCAAAAGCAAGTCATACAGATGTGTGATCCTCTTTAGAAAACATTGACATAGTCTGAATACAACTATCATTGGCTGAGTATTTGAACATTTTAACTGCGCCTCTGCGAGCCCGGTTATGTGCTCTCATGCTATAGTTGACCTAACGAGAATGTGTTCCCTTGGCAAAAAAACTACACACTTCACACAGATTGAAGTGATTGAAGTTTAAGTATATACCTGAAGCGCGTCATCGCAGTCTCCCACTGTCGCTCTGTCAGTGGTATCCGTGTCGGTAATGCTGGAGTGAGTGTGTTCTCGTGATCATCGGAAGCTGTATCCCCCGAATTAAATGCACTATTCGTGTCAGCTGTGCTGTAGTATGCAGCTAGCAGAGCCTCGGAATAGAGTGCTTTCAGCCCTTGCACAGGTGTTGAGTTACCTTCGCTCTCGTCCATAAAGGGCTGGTAGACAGGGATGGACAACCGCACACAGTTTTTAGAAAGAATTGCAAACCTTCCAAATAATGCATTCTAATGTTCTTTTAGAAGGCTTTGAATCGTGGTCTAAAACGACATGTATTGTAGTATAGTCGTATTACCAAATTTTCCACACACTTAGAGCTATAAGACGGCAGTGACAAAAAAGAATAACGAACGAATCCCTCATCGTACATACGCTTAGACATGAACTTCAACCCCTCCTGGTAAACAAATTCTGAGCAAAAAGGACTGTGAACCGTAGACAACATCTCTGTAGTGAACGCAAGTAGCCAATACTTTACCGAATTATAACTTACTTTCAACCAGGATGCCTCGAAGACAGCCATGCTTGAACAAATTTTGCACGTATACCTGAATGCTGCGATGAACTGCTCTCTCTTAGAGAGAAGAAGGACCTATCAGTTGTTCAACATTAGCACACGATTTAGGTATGTACAGAATCTGTTCATCTATGCCATCATGTTGAAATATATATGTATTTTTTATTTATTTTAAATATTACATATACTTTTATATTTAGAATGTCCTACAATGTCCTACGGACTCGTCCTTTCTCCCTCAATCTCATATTTTTACTTTTTATTCTAAATATTCTACTACTACATATTAGTATTTATTTTAGTAGAGAGAGTGAGATGGTTGTCGGTTCATTAGGTCTCTTGCTTGTCATGATATTTACATACATCTTGTAGGGCTTTTTTTTTAATTACACATATATATACCTTATATGTGTAAAAATAAAATATGTACACAATTGTACATCTGTTCCATTCAGACATGCTGTGTATTTATTGGTTCATCTCTAGTTCACTATTAAAAAACAATCTGATAATAGATCTCGCAACGTTGGTTACAAATTGAACTCGGTGTATTAGAAAGCAGTACTGTTACTACAGCTGATTCATTAATTAATTAACTATGTGGCGACGAGGGTTAAACGTGATCAACGTTCAAACGCTTCAATCCTCCACTAAGAGGGAATACAGTACTGTTGGCGGAGTAGCAGATAGTCAAGGGAGAAGGGCGAACAAAGGCCAGAACCTATTGATAACGCAACTCTTACAATTGTTTAAACAGGTATGGAATGCCGCTCCATGCACTTGACAAGATTTGTAAACGTATGTGTATATCGAGTGCTTCACCATCAGATTGCTGTCTTGATTGATATTCTAAGTATGTACCCAATAAATTTCTGTGCTCTGCGACATTTACAATTAACAACACGAAGTTGATTTTGCGAATACTTTGATTTAGTAGTGCGACTTTCTGTAGTATTTGATATGCATAAATGGCGAGACCATCGTAGGAATATAGCTACCTATATGCATGTTGGAGAAATTGATAATGTTTTCAATTTGTAGAGTTCTCGCTAATTTGTGGAGTATTATGTCTGAACCGATTCCCTATGTACTTCGTCTCGAAGTCCTATATTAGTATATAAAATTAACATTGATGGTTGACATCCGCCTCTCTTTTAAATTTTGCTTACAACGGATATAAGAACTCCGACACTCGACAGTACTTGAAGTACTACGGTAGCGCGGGGAAGGATCGATTCGCAATTATCAGAGTGAGCGGAGATGTGCTACACAACCGAGTATGTGCATACCTTCATACATAAAGTCCAACCGTTTGTTTTGACATCTCAGAATTCTGTACATGCCCTATCTAGGCAACATTCTTTGAGCAAGACATGGCTACATATAATTGTTCGTAAGTGCGAAGAAATCCTGTTTTGGATTGAAAATCATGTGCTGAAGACGCGCTCTCTATCAATTTTATACTGTTCTGTTTTGTGCTCACCTTAACATCACGAGTCTTGTGATTTTAGTTGTAATGTAGTGTTCGACGCCTGCTCCTGTATATTATTTGCATACCTAATACAAAATATTTGTTCATATTGAGATATATTGTGTTGTGTTGTCATTACAGTTCATCGCTTCTATGGAAAATCTTCACTAGCGCGCCGCACCGTGTTCTTTTTTCTTTTTTCCATCTCAACGAGCTCTTCAAAGTGTTCTGTTATTGCAACTATTACACCATCGGGTGATGTACAATCCTGTCATTCATAAATTTACTGGCCCTGTACGTTATGCATATACCTCATCATGTAACTCAAAGTAGAGCTTTGCACGTGTACTATGTTTTGTCATTCTCCCGCTTCTTTCGCTACTCAACATGGTTTGATGGTATGTGTAACGCGGATTGAATGCCACCCTTTTAGAGCCATACTACTTCTGCTAAGTCATAATAAACCGATCCCAATGTACAATGTTTGATGCTGCTTTCTCTTTCTTCAAATTTCAATATTAAAGTTTCAGATTTGTGACGCGTCTCGAGATCTTCTTTCGAATACAGAATCTTTCCGTTTGTGCTCCGGGAAAGATTAATGTCCCTATATCTGTTGTAGATCTTTATCGTTTGGCTGTATTGCGTATTCTTCTACTATTGAATCACAATGCCTTGTCGCCGCTATTGTGTCGTCGTGCCACCTAAACCTTGCTCACAATAAAGAGTGTACCTTGTACTGGTTGTTGTATCCCCTTCATCCCTTCCATCACCGCTTCATACTTTTTATGATTCACCCTTTTACACAGTCGCTTATTGCTTTCGATAAACGTTATCTTCTTCAGGATCACCTTTACCAGACGGCGGCGTCCTTATCCTTTCTACACCGTGTTGGGCTTCGGCCCATAGTGGTACACGGTGCGGGCATATACTCTGGTCGCTGTAGCGATGCATTGTCAAAGATTGTCAATGCGGAGACTTCCATAGAGGAATCGGAACCTGGGCAAAGCGAGAGAGATATGTTACATGTCGATGAAAGCAAACAGTTGAAGGCTTCTGAGGCAGCTGTTGAGTATATGGAGAAGGCTAATGCTGCGCTCGTCGAAACGCTAAGTAAAGAATTCGATATCGGGGCTGTACCGCTAATAGACACTGTTTACAGGGCGAAGACTATGGATAATTATTCTGGTCCGAAAGTTTGGGAACGTCTGGCCGGGAGTATATTGAGTGTGAACAATACGGTCATAGAATCAGCATTCCGACAGGTTGGTGAATTTCTTTTTGTCTATCGAGCGACTTCAATTTCCACTACGAACGAGATTGTGCTGTTCTTATCGTTTACTCGTTCTATTGTGCTCCCACAACTTCTATTGAATGATCGCGTAGCTCACATGAACACAGCAGAGCGATGGGCTAGTTGCGCCACTCGACACCACAGCCGCATAGTATATATAGGGAACTGTCCATGTGAGTGCGTCTATATGGGCTCTTCTTAACACGGCCTTTATATACTGAACACCAATCTCCTGCAAGACTAGGGCCTGATTCCGATAGTTTCGAGTTTAGGGTGGGGAGTGGACTGTCATCGCCTTCTTTCGTTCAGTACTCAGGAAGCAACTAGTGCTCTTGCAAAGGCCTTTTCGCCTCTTAAGGTGTGTTGTGTTTTTACTGGAATGAGCTTGTATGTACCGGTCACACCAACACGATTCGGATTTTTTTAAATTTTGTTTACATGCAGTGCTAGTAGTGACACGTGCTTTCATGCTCCCTACTGAACATCCATCTGAATCCGCTCCTTCATGCAGTGCATTAGTATCAGCAATATAATTAGCACTAGGTTATAATTATACAAACACATGTCATGGGTCAATTGGGCCGTTGCAGGTCATTATGCTGCGACCAGAGGGATGTCTTAGAGATGAGGACGGGAATAGGTTCAAGTATATCAATCTTGCCCGTGATCTGCTTCCTTTGAGTAGAAACGAGCCCACAGAGAACGGTATGTAAGTTTAGTTTTCTTGATCAGACGCGGATAATGTCGGTATGCCTATTCGCTTTTACAATAGGATCAATTAGTCTTGCCGTAGAAAGGGAGCTACTGTATCATCAACTTATAAATACTGAACCGTCAGTAATATCAGGTGTTCGACTTCTGGAAGGAGACCGTAATGACTTCAATGATGCAGCGAATACGTTCAGTTCCCTCGATGTCGGCGCTACGCTGGCTATCACAACACCAGCACTTCTCTCGCAAGAGCTGTTCACGCATCAAGGCGCAGGCACTCTGATAGTCCGCGGTGACAAGGTAAGTCTATATTCTGTATTCAAAATACTTCAGATTTATCGCTGCGATATATTTTCTGACCAGTCGTGATTATATACATACATGTCGGTAAGATATACACGCATATCTACATAAAAGCACAATGTGGGGCCTAATACCTTCAAACAATCTGACCACTACACGAATACTGAAAATCAACTGCACCAAAAGATCACCAGGATCACTGATCTCAACAGCCCGCTGGTTGATCTGCCCGCTGTGAAGGCAGTCTTGGAAGGCTCCTTTCGTTCACCAATCCCCGATTCATACTTCGAATCCATTCAAGACAGGTAAGAAGGCTGTCTTAAACTCTGCATATCATTCGTAACGTATTTTTTTATATCATCGTCTCCGTGTTCTGGGATGTATTACCGGTGGACTGGTTTTTAAATTCGACTCCGGATACTCCTTCGAAATTGCAGTTTTCGATCTCTCTACGTCACCGAGAGTGGACGCGGGATAGCAATTGTATTGACGATTGGAGGAATCCCATATCTTGACAAAATTGCTGTGCAACAAGGAAGCCAAGGTGATCAACTGGGAGAGCAAATTTGGCAGGTGTGTGCAGGACTCTTCGAAACATTGTTGATACATATCCTTGGAAATTTTTATTTGGAACCTTGACCTAAAACAAATTAAGTATGTTCTTACATTCGGTGACTGTGTTGGATACACATCAGGCACTCACAAAGGGTGAGCCGTCATTGTTCTGGAGATCGAGGTCTAGTAATTCTGCGAATAATTGGTACTATGACCGGGCCCACGGTGCTATCAAGGATCAGAAATCGCCCTGGACTGTGTTCTGGTACAACGTTGACACTGACAAAATCATGGAGTGCGTGAAAAAAGCGATTGGGTAAGTATCAACGGGATTGTAACCTTACTGCCTGTAGTACATTTGTCCGACATTTTTTTTGACAGTTTAAATTGAATGAAAAATTATTTATTTTGGTCATCTCTTCAACTCTAACAGGTTGAAGCCAACATTCAGTGTCTAGTAATCTAGTCTAAATGCCCTTCGAGATGCTTCTGGACCTAATTGCGATGTATTTGCGATGTCCGCTACTACGTGCTCCGCGGCGCTCAACGTGCTCCACGTAGTGCTCCACAGGCCTATATACCATAGGACAACCTCGGAAGCGAAACCTACTTCGCATTCTACTTCATGGTGACTTGTTTAGCACATATCATCATAAATCACGAAGAAGTGATTCTTATTGCTCTACATATGAGGGAAAATTCTGCCAATTGTGATGAATCTGGATTCACGTGCGTGGTTAAAATTCATGACGACCAACTCCCGGGTAGATGGAAATGGAGGTGAATCTCTTCACGTCCACCGTATAGAATGCATAACTTCCATACATCGCCCGAGACGCATTTTGGGCAAGTACTGTGGTATTCGAATGTATGTACTTGAAGTCGGATTTTAGAATTCGTCTTCAGACAATTGGCGCAGCACTGGCCCCGCATTCTTCGACCCAAACAGACGTACTACCCAAAACTCTACCAAGTGGCTGGCTACAATTTCCACCACTCCGGAAGAATAAGAAGTATCTTTATCGGCCTGCATAGTTATATCATATGGAATATGGGGAGCCGGATATAAAGTTGAAATGATATGCTAAGTGGTCTATCTCGATATGCACTTCGGGAAAATGTTAATCAACGTATGAGCGCATCAGCATGGTAGGAACAAACCAAGAGTAACTTGTAAATACCCTTACTCACCTGTTTATCGGGTCCTCGAATTTTATCGAAGATAGTATATAGCGGTGCCAATTCCAGATTCCACGCATCGTTGCACTCCTGACTCAGCACTCTTTTATTTAATTCGATTCCAGCAAATACTGGCTCCTTTTGCGACCTTTGACAGAAACTTTCAGACTTCGTGGCAGCTGCTGAGATGTCTAGCGGTGAGTAGCGACTGTGGTATAACTGCTGTACAAAGTCCTTGCGAAGTCCTGCATATTAAATATCGAGATGATGGTCAAATCGGTGGTCAGTCACGAAGGTCATGTTTTGGTTTAAGGAGATGTGTAATAAACATCTTTCCCTGTAGAAATGGACCAGGTTCAGAAAATGGCACTTTCAATGTGTGCACCATACCCAAGCCTGCTATTAGCTGTGCTACAAAGTCTACGACCAATTCTTTCTTTCTTTTGACATTCTTATGTGTCCGGACGGCGGCCAGCTTATCAATCTTGTGGTTGAATATACTCGCAGCGTAGAATTTCAGGATCGATTCTGAAAAGCAGTTCACAGACACCGAAGTTGTCAAGGCTTCGACGTGATGAAACCAGAAGGATGGTATGTACACCGCATCACCTACAGAATTATATTGTGAGCGTGAAAATGTAAATATTCAAGTCCTATTTTGTCTTGAGATATAGCAGATACCTTAATGATATTCAGTTGTTTCTGATTGAGAGATTATAGATGAAAGACTGCGTGCACTTCACTAAACTAGGAGGACGGCGAGGCGAATAGGCGTAGTACAATTTTCCGCGTTGGACCATACGATATCAAGAATCCACTGGTATCCAAGTTTTACCTGGATTTAAAATGACGGTTTGCCATTTCTCTGCACTCGCAAAACCGGGAAATTGCAAGAGGTTGGGTTGATCAAAGTCCACCTGTGACAAAAGTATAGTATATGAATAACGTCAGTGTGAGCTACATTTTGTACTACATTGTGTACGCACACATCCGAAAAATCGCTATTAATGTGTGGGCATCTAACGATAACATTTATAAAGGATCTTGAAACTTTCTATAGAATTACCAATGTACCGCTCCCTTGTCGATGTAGGCAATTTCCTGTATCTGATCAATACCCAAATATATTTTTAACACCAGGGCGTTATATATGCGCAGATATACCTTTATTGACACATACATAGGGATAAAGAATTGGATTATTGGTCTTCTGAAAGAAACATACAATTGTGGAATTATTGTATCCATACAACAACATCAAGGGTGCACGCGTACAAACTCGGAGTCGTCTATTCGAAATATGGAAGTGTCCCAATCAACAATTGCTACACATGCTTGAATTCGTACACTTTTCAAACGCATACCTGGGACTTTCGCGACCGCGGATGTGCATCTGGAAATACATATAAATTGGGAGCCTGCAAACGAGAGTACAAGCCAGTAAATCGAAGTTACCGATCAGGAATACTGAAAACCGCATTTATTTTCGACATTCGCTATACTATAATCAATAAAAGTATTGTACTCGCAATGTACGTCATTACTTTACCTGATTCGGGTGATAAAACGTTATTTCTTTTTGTCCATGCAACTGAACGAATATATTATTGGCCACATCGTAGTGGGCCTGTGTCACCACCCCTGGTTCGCCTATCCAGCAAGACATAGTAGGCGCACTCAGTGTCTCGCCCAGCGTACTGTCCGGTGGTATATCGCTCACTATCAGATTTTCCCATCCTGGCAGCTAATGAGCATAATGATATAGTAAGTTCCTACTATCCTATAGTTTGTGTAATGCAAATAGTTGAAAATTGCAAGCAAGTAGAAATCAGCTAAAACATTGGGCAACAACTAACAAATACACGCATATATTAAAAAAAGTAGATACATGAGAACCGACTTTACTTTACTTTATCCAGGCTGCCTATATCTGCGACGGGCGCTGTAAAATACAGTGAGTCAGACCGGTCTGTCATCGGCGAGCTATTGGAAAGTATGGGATGTTTATATCTTAATAAATTACTACATATATCTAGACTTGGCTATGGATCACTGCTTTAATAGTAATACCATTGTCCAGTGCATTTACGATTATTGGTCTTGACTCGATAGTATGCTCACTGAACACTATCATCACCACATACAAAAGGATCCTTGATCTCAAGTACTCGATTCTATATCGAAGCTGCACTAACAGGCTTCGAATCGCATATAAAGACGTGAGAAATAATTGGTCCTGTGGACCACAATTGATCTAAAGCAAACTCAATTGAGTGGTCAACGATATAGATCTTTGCTTTGTTGCTTTACTCACTTCTGACATATCCGTTGAACAAAGTTGCTTGTTTCCACTGATTTAATCTCAAACTCCTGGGTGTCGTTGAGTAGAGGTCGGGTACCTGCTTCTGTATACATAAAAGTCCGGCAGCTGCTAGATGTTTTGACGGTCAAATGATCCGTTTTTCTCAGTAGCCTCTGACCTAAAACCCCTAGCTCCCACTCGCCACTGTCGCACCAGGTCTTAGCCTCGTTCAATTGGAGGCGTAGAGGGTATATTGGTAATGGTGATTGTAACGTACTCACCTTCCGTTGTCTTACTTTCGTGTGTATAGCATGCAAGTTTCTACTTAATTTTGTGCATACATTGTAAACCGTACTGGCACGCTGTGCGCACTGCGTGCATGGCCGTCCGATATAATTAGACATGTCTTACGAGTGTCTGGACTCCTTGCAATTATATGTATCTACATATGTCCTATGTATATATTTATATACACGTACGTGAACGTGTATGGGTAAACGTTTTGACGTCAAGATGACTGGTATATTTTCTGTGCTGGTATGTAGTTCATAATTTCATGCAATCAGATGAGCATCGAGTACACTAGTTCATCACCTCCCCTTACTTCTCTCTCTCTCTCTACTCTACTAGTAGAAATAATATTTTAATATGTATCTTTCTCTATTGTGATCGTAGCGAATGTAAAATATATATTTTGTTACAATATTTAATATAGAATAAACACGCGAGATGTATTTATAGTATTAAAATTAACCCCAGAAAATAGTAAATATAACAAACAAGAGACCTCATATGATATCACCTAATAATATATCGAACAGATGTGCGATGATGTATAGGAGTCTAGGACGATGTTCATGAGGGTCATCATCGTGGATGTTGTCGATTCTCGAACTTCGCAGGTCACACGATTGGACCCGCCAAAATCAGGTACCGAACCTTTAATTATATTCCTTCCTAATTTGGTGGTAGTAATCGCAAATGGATATGAGTTAATGAGTACATATATGAAATCACAATAATTTTTAATTTTTATGAGGCTCTGTTGCGTGTGGACTGTGGAGACTAGAGTGATTAGTTATATAGTGAACGAATACACAAAACTGGTTAGAAGAACGCACACACACCCGAAAGTGGTTAGTTAGAGTACAACTAGTTCGCAAACATGAACGTTCTCCGCATGCAAAGGCTATTCAAGGTAAGCACGACAACACATGCACGTGCACTGTGTGTCTGCACAAGTGTATTTCTCTACAGCCGAGTGTTGTACCGGGCAGATTAGTTCGTTTCAAAATTTGCGGCAGTTATAGCTATGGGTATTATTATGGGAGTGATCAGTGGAGTATATATATATATCAGTTTGCCCGAGACGTACGCATGCATATACGTGTATGCTTGTCTCTAACCTTGAAAGTGTGGTAGTGACGTGTCGACGCGTATCGTTCGGAAGCGATGGGCGCACACTAACCGACAATATATTACGTTGTTCATCGCCGTGTATTTTACGTCACAGAGCTCGGTTTTAATTCGAGTTCAATACTCCATATACTCCATACTTTATATATCGTACACTCTATGCGCAGCCGGTTCAGGCACACACGCGCATGTATGCGAGCGAAGCATTTGCACAGGTCACTGTAAGAGATGCGCTGCGTGACGCTATGGCCGAAGAGATGCGAAGGGACCCCGATGTCTTCCTGTTGGGTGAGGAAGTTGGACAGTATAACGGAGCGTACAAGGTATGATCGTTCTTTGCTTGTTGTGTATTGCACGTGTCCTTTTTTATCTGTTCATGTTCTATAACAGTATTAATTTTGTGTATGTAGGACCTTACAATGAAGTGTGCTGCAGTGGCTGTGTGTCTGTGATTCTTTTTCAATAGGTTGCTATTAGAGGCTTATATCACTTTCTGTGGATTAAATGGGAAATGGCATATATAGATAGATAGATAAAGATGTACAATATATCTTGCCGTTTTTGGATTGATTGTTGCACTATCTTGTTTATACATGAATCATAAGGCCACAATTTAAACCAGATTACCACGCATGGTGACACAAAATTATATGCTTACAAGGAAACATTGCCTGTGTCTATGATATTCTACTTGCGAGTAAGAAAGTGTCATATAGTTCTGAAGAGTACATCCTATGAAATTCTCTTATATCAATTCATTTGCGCTGACTAGGAGTTATGCTTATAGTATTCGAATGCTTTCCTGCTGATGGTATCGTATTCTGTTTAAATGGTGTCTTAATCGTTACCCTTGTATTCGAGCGCTCAGAACGTGTAATTTTATAAGCACATCATACACGATGCAACGGCTGAGTCAGATCAATTCTTTCACTGTCATAGGTCACCCGAAACCTGCTGGACGAGTTTGGCCCCAAGCGTGTGATCGACACCCCAATTACTGAGATGGGTTTTACAGGAATCGCAGTGGGTGCCGCTATGGAAGGTCTTAAGCCTATTTGCGAATTCATGACGTTCAACTTTGCGATGCAGTCGATCGATCATGTAAGTTTTATAAATACGAACGTAGGCAACTTGTCTTGATGTGGAATATTGGTAGTTAATACAATTTTTATGTGATATGTATGTGTTGGTGGTGTGTATACAGGATTAGATTTTTTTCATAACAAGAGAACAATCGTTACGGAATATGTGGAGCAAGATCTATAGTGAGAAGATTATTAAATCATTGTATCTGTGCATTGCTTTATTTGTGGTCTGTCGTTTGTACCTTTCCGTATTGGCGATAAGAGGATCTATTAGCGCTTACATTTAAATTAACAAAAACCAGAGAGTCCTGTTCCAGAGTGCTTCTATATATTCTGGCCCGACATATCGAGTCACTAGTATAGAGAAATTTAACCCTCGATCGGGAATCATTCATCTTTCTGTCAGTATTGCTGTCACCCGCATCATTATATCTGTGCTCCGTGTTGCCTTAGACTCTCTCGCCTCGAGGACGCTAGTGAAAATATGTCGCAGTGATACGCACATACAGTTCTGGAGTGATAGTATCAGTTTGATCTGTACCTTGTTCCTTCGAGTTTCATGGATATGCCTGTCCTCTCGACTTCTAACTGCGACTCTCGTCACTGTTTACACCATTGTAATCGCTGCGAACTCTCCCGTATCTGTAAACCCTATCTAATCAATGACTGCGAACACATTTGAATTATCGCAGATTGTTAATTCGGCTGCCAAGGGTCACTACATGTCTGGTGGACGTCTAAGGTGTCCCATTGTATTCCGAGGCGCAAACGGACAGGCCTCCGGTGTAGGTGCACAGCACTCCCAATGCTATGCCGCCTGGTTTGGTCATATCCCTGGGCTGAAGGTTGTGTCACCATACGACGCAGAGGATTGCAGAGGACTATTGAAGTCAGCCATACGGGACCCTGATCCCGTCGTATTCTTAGAGAATGAGCTGATATATGGAGAGAGTTTCCCAGTATCGAAAGAGTACGCCAATGAGGACTTCACTCTTCCCATTGGAAAGGCGCATATCGCTAAAGAAGGTATTGTGTTCGAGAGAGAAACGTATAGAATAGTATTGACATGAATTTATACACGTTTCACAAATGCCAGGAGTTGACTTTACCACTGTAACCCAGGGCTGACCAGTACTATCCATTTCATGGTTAGGAGTACTTTTGATTTCTCAGTCTCGGGTACTGACGAAACCTTTGTATCATCGCAATTCCACGACTAAAGTATTCAATCTCTTCCACCCTTAGGTTCTGACTGCACTATCGTAGCCCACTCACTTCCTGTTGGCCAAGCACTAGAAGCGGCCGCTGAGCTAGAGAAGGAAGGTATCTCATGCGAGGTTATCAATCTGCGCTCTATCCGTCCTCTGGATATGGAAACAGTTATTAATTCCGTGAAGAAGACGCACCGAATCGTGACCGTTGAGAGCGGTTGGGCACATTTCGGAGTTGGTGCTGAGATCGCCGCTGGTTTGATGGAATGTATGTATCCATACCAGGCAGAAGTACAATGTTAGTTGATGTTCAATATCTCTTCTTTTTTTTCTTTGTAAGGTTTGATTTGTAGCACGAGTTCGCACAATATATTTATTGTATCCAAGTATCGCGCGTGGTATATCGCATGAATATGACTTTTCTAGTTGTTCCGTCTTGCTAAAATTTCCGAATATTCTTTTCCTGCAGCTGAAGCGTTCGATTATCTAGATGCGCCAGTATCGCGTGTGGCATCCGTGGATGTGCCCCTCCCATACACAAAGACCTTGGAAGCGAAATGCCAACCTCAGGTGTACGGCATTGTTAACGCTGTCAAGGGAGTCTTATACAGAAACGATTAGCTCATACAAAAATGTACTTTAATAGCAAAATTATAAATTTGACCGTGGTGTAGGTGTATAAGACGTGCACTGCAAAACACGAACACGGGTATCGGTATCGACTTGATTGTTATCGTAACAGCTTGCTATGCTTATATCTAGGATTTTTATTTAGAAGTGTGTGCACGCATAGAAACACACAATGTCGCACTGTTTTACATTCTTCGTGAGAATCTTGATCGGTCGTTTTCATGGCTTGGGCTTTTCTATGTACGGATATGTACTGTACAATGTGTGCCAGCTCGCTTCAAACATATGAGTTGTACTTGGAGTAAGTTGATGTGGGGAACCAGCATATTCTGTGATGATCAAGAAAAAGTGCAATGGCATTTTGAACTGAATTTCCAGCTACATACCAGATACAAGTACTTTTGTATAATTATGTGGACGATTGATTTATTGTATTGCGCTATTTCCGTGTAGACTGCCAAACTTTGTGAGTACGGATATAAGCGTAAACTTTCTTGAAAAAATTATCCGCACACTTGATTGAAAGTAGCAATAATCGTAGCACAAGCTTGATTGCCAATATTGTACGTATGCTAGATATTAATACTACTTTTGCTCTAATTTGTGCTACGATTTTATATTTGAGTATCTTTGAAGTACATAGCAAGGCAAAAAAATATTATTATTCCTTATAACTAGATCGATATGTCTGTTTGGTGCTACTTTTACTGCAAAAAGAGTGGGTTACCATCTAGCCTCTACCTATATGCAGTCGTGTACTTGCGAAGAGTATTTATACCAATGGAATGACTTTTTGTTTTTCGCGCACAGGTAAACATAGAGCTGTACCTAATATTCATATGTCTGTGTCAAAGTATTGATTAGTTGTGCAACACTATGCTGCAAAAATAACCCTCTTGCACTTGGTCGAGTTGACATGCAGACACATAATGCACGTATAGGTGTATATACTTTTAAATGAAACCGGATAAGTAAATAATGCATACATACTTGTCAATATATTTAAGGGAAGCGCTACAATAATGAGTCATGCAATATATGCATAGTGTACAAAAACATGTATATTCAACCACTTCTATGTAATTGTTGAGAGGGGGGAAGTTTGTGCGCGTACCTCTGGATGCGTACATAAATTTTCAGCGTCACTTGTATTTGTGCTTTCATATTAAAGTATACAAGTGTATTCTCGTACTTGTATGTACCGTGTGGCTTCATATGCCCAGGTGACTGCATATGTATTTGTAAGTATTGATGTTCCGTACTTGACTTCATAATTGTACTCTTAACTGTACCTGTACTTGCGCGTATACATTTACTTGTACATCTGCCTGCAATGTGTAATTGCTGTACTTATGACTTGCAATTGACCTCATGTCTCAAGTTACTTTTATTTTGAATTTATCTTCACTTGTCCAGTGCAGTTACCTCCACATGAATTCTGTTGCTTAAGACAAAATCCGTGCACATGTGCATTAACACAATACTGATGTACATGCTCGCATACATGTATATTGGTTGTGCATATGTATATGTGAAGAGAAACATCAAAACAAGAATGAACATGAGCATCGAGTACTGTATATTCTGATATGGGCACATACTTGAAACTTGCAACGTTTTTTATTATTAGGCTTTACATCAATGGATATATGTGTGTGTGTGTGTGCTTGGTATATACCTCTTTCACGCCAGTATCGTCGGTGAAACGTACGATATGTAAAAAGAAATCCGGTCCAGTTTGTTTCGATTCCTTGATTATATATACTATTGGTCGTACTGATTAAGAGTCTATGGAAACAATGACATGTGATATACTGTGCTAGGTTTATATGATCAATTTATATACGAAAAAAATACATATTCCTGATAACATAAGCTACCTCGCTTTACATGTGATAGCTTGCCAAAGCTGCCCACGATTGCGATTTTGAGTTTCATTGCGGAATCAATGGCATGTGCACATGTAATCGCGAATTGCCGCGATTTAACTTTTTTGGTGTCCTTGGTATACCTTCTTAAATTGCGGACGGTGTGACTGTTTTTGTGAGACCGATTATATGCCGCTATACTGCAATACTTCAATTTGATAAATATGGTAGAATGCTTTCAATATTTTTACCTTCGAATTATAGCAACTACTGTTAATGTAGTTAGGGTATACCATGTTCCTAGTTACGCAAGTTTTGGTGAGACAATATATTTTTTGACAATCTGAATTGCACCACCACCCATACTATCTATCTTAATACAAGGTATCGGTATAACGAAAGGAAGAGGAGCGGCTAATGTTATTCCAAAGTTTTTCATACACTATATTGTGATTGCGGTTCGAAAACGTCATTTGCCAGGCTGGATGGGTGTTTATGTTTTAATGACCAGCAGGACGCCAATTCGGATATAGGGCGAGCAAAGAATAGGTAGCAAAATATTGTATTATTTTGTGAGTTGTGAAAGCCATCCGTTCTTGTCATGGAAGCTCAAAATTTGTATAACGTTATGATTGCTTCACGGTCAATTTTGATAGCCTCCATGTTGTGCTGAAATGTATTTCAATACTTCGCCACTTTCAGCTTGTGTTCTGCCGGAAAAAAACTTGAATAATTGACATGTCATACCTATAGTGTCGGCTACATATACCACCTAACTTGAGATTTTATTTATCTTTTGAATGGTATTCAACGTTTAGATCTCAAAAAGTAGTCACAGTACATACAGCCATCGAAATCATTGGCCGATGCATGATACGACAGTTTCAATCAACCTAATACAAAAAAGGATAAGTTGAATATGTGTGCCTGGTCTAGTGGACAGGACTATTTATAACTAGCAACTTAACTCAGACAGACATGATCGCGCATCACTATATCACTTAACTACCGCCCAAAGCCGTTAGCTGTTAATATCTTTAATCTCGTAGCCTCCCTCTGTTTGATTGAAACAGCGATTCTATCAATACCTTGTAGTTTAGCTTTAACATCTTTTTCCTGCCCATCCTAACGACAGTTTTCGGCGAAGAAACTACAAACAGCAAAATTCCTGAGCAGTCGTATACCGTAAATTCACAATGCGCTGTGTCGTTGAAAATCGAATCGCGGTGCATTTTCGTGTCCTTGAAAATCTTTAGTGTGGGAGAAAGCACTACCCTTAGCGACTATCATCATGTGCGATAGAGAAATACCGTAACATCATCTATTGCGAATGCAGTAAGCTTTCGTTAATTTTGTAGAAGAAAACATTTCGATATAGTTTCAAGTGTTGTAATTCATTTATAATCGGTTCAAGTATTGAATTTATTCAATTTCGGCCCCAACATCTGTGTAATATAAGATAATAAGTAACGTGTGAGCTACGCTCAATAGGTTCAAATTTAATATCACAGATAATGTTGGTCAAATATAGAGAATTATATGGGTTCGATATAGGTGAGATGAAGCTATCAGGCAGAAAGTAACTGTGAAATACAAGTCGCCAACAAATCTGGGCCAAAGGAGTCGTATCGATGAGCGCCTTAACTCTCCTGTTCACGATTGTTTTGATACTTTATTATGCTAGATTTCTTACTGATTAGGTCTTGATCATGGTCAGATCATCAAAAGAGTGCTCGGCTAATGAGCTCTCTCCCTGAGGTGGACTCTGCTAATTTAAGTGAAGATGCAGTTGTGTTGCAATATGTAAGTAAGTTAATATCATCTGAGGTCCATGAATTCAACTATGAACATTATTCTTGTTTCAACCCTGGTCACGTTTGAGTATACCTTTTATAATGAAATTCAATATTACTCATCATAGCAGCATTCATATATTTAGAATAGTAATTTTTTTCGTGGCCGGACGGATGGCAAGGTGCATTTTAGCATGCTGTGAGCAAGTGAATATCGCCTGAGCTCAATGAATTCAACTATAACATTATTTCTGTTACAAACCCTGGTCACTTTTGAATATAAAATTTTAGATGAGATTCAAAATTACTCATCATAGAACAATTCATGTATCTAGACTAGTGATTTTTTTATGGCTGGACGGGTGGCAAGGTGTATTATTCTATAGCATGTGCAAATCTATTCAATATCTTACTGTGCTACACATACATCTCTAGTAATGATGTTTGAGCCTTATTGTGGCAAAATCACTTCCCTGGGAAAACATATCTATTTGAATCATGAAGCGAGATTGAGCCAAATAAAAGTAAGTGGTATGAAATGCTAGTGGTATACAGACGCAGGTATCGGCTCACCAATGTTAAATTTGAAACAGATATGCATAGCCTCAAGCTTCAGCTAGAGGTCACAACTCGTAGCTCACTTTATTTATGTTGTGATAGACCCGGGCATATCGACTGTCGCTCTAATCTGGACAGCAGTCACAGCTGTATCGTGTCAGATAATCTTCGGAATCGCAGGCCTGTCGTATTTGTGATAGATACTATTTAAAACATCACAATGGTGACCTTGATTTGTTAACATACAAAACATTCGCTTTACACAGACGATTTATAACGTATCCATCCTAGGAGATCATGTGAGTTAAGAGCTTTTTTTGCTTTTATACTTTTCCGTATTACCAACCGACTCACAAAACTCGTCACATACTATATGACACTATTTCTAGAAAATCAGTTGCTGGTACGCCTCGTTGCTCAAACCAAGCAAACCCAACTTTTACTGCTAGTGATCCAAGATTGGTGTTTCTACACAGAAGTTTAGCACACACAGCCCTGATTGTTCAGTACCTGATTTCACATATGATGATACACTCTTCTTGACATACTGTTTTCCAACTCGTCACTGACAGTATGTATCAACTAATAGGGTATAATATCTACATTTCTCAATGAAGCACATCTTCAAATATCGCCCGTACTATCGACAGAATAATCTTCCATTTTGCCTGGCGTATTTGTGGCCTTGTGACCAGCCAGTACTAAAAGATGGAATCAGCGATATCCCCGGTGATAGTTCAAACTTACGGTAGACTTATTTTCCGGTCCGCACGTAAGTATGACAGTTGAGAGGTTTGATAAAATGTGGATCTGTTTTTATCATAGTCGACTTGAGTTCGAGCGTATACACGCTTACTATCCCACATTGCATACGTTTT